ACCGGTCTGATGGGTCTGTTATGCCAACAAATTCTGGTATGATTCCATGCTCTCCAGAATGCAGAAACCTGCCCAGCCAGTTAAATGAAAGGCATATTAGGTTATCCATTGCACATTGTATATATCTTAGGTGCAGCAGATCTCCTCTCGGCATTCTCTAGTGTGGTCCACAGTGGCTTCCTCATCTTACTTACACTTGAGGTTTATAGCTGGAGGGGAAGTCAATAGTAAATATTTATCACCCCGATCAAGAACAGAACTTTTCACAATTCAAACAGAAGGGTGAGTTTTGAAAATCTTTCTTTAAAATTAATTTAAGATAACCTTAAGCAAAAAATTTCTCTGATGCTTGAAGTGGTATAATGGCTATCTCCTTAATGTGTCTGAGTACTGCCCGTCTCAATGGTGTTTGTTGACAGGATTTTTGTGATTGCAGCTTTTTGACCCTTCTGTGTGCAGCTCAACATCATCTCCTCTGCAAGAGTATTTACTGGACAGACAATTCAATGAACCTAGCATGGGAGTGAGAGATAGAAACTCCACTGCCAATGACTTAGTATTTTGAGCAAGTCATTTAAGTATTGCCTATTGATCTTCTCTTTTATACAGTGTTTTTATAATCCCTGTCTCATAACAGCACTGCTGTGACAAGGCATAGTGCCATTACAGTAAGGTGTGCAGTTATTAATTCTTGCCAGACTAACTTTTTTAATTGTTCAATTTTATAAAGTAAATTAATTAAGTCTAGATTTACATATTCAGAATTAGCTTCATAGTAAGACAGGAAATGTACATTGTTACTGCTTGCTTTCTACATATTCATTAGAAATTTACCTCTTTGGAATGAGTAATGGTGGTGGCAATGGTAATAAAAAGCAGTCCTAATCATAAAGAGTAGGCTGACCTGAAAGTTCTACCTGTATCTGTGACTGAATCCATTCACAGGTTCTGTGTCAAATAAGAAAAATTAAACAGTGTGAAAACAAAAGCTGTGGAATCTGGTAACTGATTAACTACTGGAGCACAGAGGTACTTGCTGAGCTGAATAGAAAGGAATGAAGACAGGTTTTGTCATGCCTGTTAGGACAAAATAACTCTTTAACTTAAGTAAATGTGAATCTTCCATCTGTGTAGCTACATTTTTGAAAACCTTCACATAACTACTTCCGACTCCTGGGAAATCTTAATTTTGTCCATCTTTACAGGAAACAATCACCATTCTCTTTGATGATGTGAAAAAAAAATACTCAGAATCAGTGGATATAAACCATTAGATACAAATATATCTACACAGGATTATGTAAGACTTTATGGTAGGCACACAACAGGAAGCTTTAATTATAAAGGTGTTTACTTGCCAGCTGTTTCGAGGTTGATGTTAAAATGAATATTATTCATTTGTAGAGTGCCAAGAAAAAGGCCTCCTGAGTACTTAAAAAAAAAAAATCAATGAATTGAAATTACCTTCTAATTAGTAGCATTGTATCTGTGTGTAAAATTTTTTCTTCCAAGTGTGGGTAAACAGAAAAAAAGCATAGGGAAACTTTTGTATTCTCACAGAAGGTAATAACATTTATCAAGAAAAAAGTCTAATTTTCTTATCAACTCTGTTGATTCTGCTATCAAATATGTAAGGAAAAATTATAAGGAATAAACCATTTTCCAAAGAAAAAATTATAGCTGGTTGAACTGTATGGTTTGCACAGGAAGTCTCTGCAGGAAGTCTCTGTAGAGACTATAAAATGCTACAAGAGAGCTTTGATTTCTAAAGCTTTAGGATTTTTACACAGCACATTTTTAAAATTCAAACTAAATAAACCACTTTTTCAAAATACTGCTTGCCACCCTCTCTCTCTCTCTCCTGTTTATGTGTTCTGTTTTATTCGGGTTTTCCTCAGCTGCTTTTTTTTAGGGGGCTGGAAGAGCAGGGGCCATTGTTTGGGGACTTTTTTTTTTCTCTCAAATGGTAAGTAAAATATTATTTCCTATATGTTGTTTCAGTTTGCTTGTTTTCTGGCCCTGAATTTATGTCGTTCACTACAGTAAAAGGTAGGTGGCATGATTTTGTGCACAGATCTGTAAACTTTTACTTCAGCTGAGATAAACACGCATAACTACTCAAACTACTCGTGCTACCCTGAGAAACATCAGTAGGAGCAAAACATTTCCGCATGCAGCTAACACAAATAGGTGCTGCTGCTTAGAGCCGGAAGACCAGCAACACTGGTCTGGGGTCCTGCAACAGCATCCCTCAGGTTGCTTTTTTTATTTCCCTCCATCAAGACTCTCTAAGAGACCTGAGAGTTTCAGTCGAATAAGCCCTGGCTTTTTCTGACTACAGATGAGGAGCAGTGAAAGCACTTCAAAGAAGAGGGTTTCTTAAAGTGAACAGTGTTACTGGCATCAGGGAATTTGATCTCGGCTTGATTTCAAAAGTGGCTACGCAAGCAGCTTGAGAAGAATCAAATTCAACTAGTGGGGGTGGTGGAGTGGCTCCTCCCTATTTTTCCAGAGAAAGCAACTACCTGTGCCAGACAGCAGTGGTGTTCTCTGTGTGCCCTCCCAGCTGTAAGAAATCATGCCATTCAGAGGACTGTCGCCTCCTACACTCCCAGTTTAAATCCCATTTAGGCAGCAGCTGAACTGTGCCACACGCTCTTATATGCTGCATCTGAAGTTGGTCTCCTTTGATGTCCTCATTGGCAACTGCAACATGAAGTTCGTTGAATGAATATGACTAGAGAGTTAAACATTATATTTATCCCTCAGTTACAGATCTGCAATTCAAGAACACACTGGCCATGTATGTGTATGTGCAATCCATTCAATCTCATGCAAATAAATAAGGACCTCACTATTTTATATATATATATGTATGTGTATATACACATATAGGCAAAGAGTGAAATAGTTACCATTGTGCTTACAGCATATGAAATATTTAAATTGGACTTCCCATTTTAATTTAAAGCTGGTTTTAACCTTTACATCTAAATTTAAAGTAATAGAAGCAAAAAAAAAAGTAAGCCTTCTGCTAACCTCTTTTAGCCCTATTCTGTATGCATATGCAGTGAGCTAGGTCACCTGCTGCTACCTGAATGGTTTGAAACACTGGTGCAGCCTCTGCACTACACTTGAAAACAGGGGTGCATGTGAGAGAATAAAGGGCGATTTTTTATTTTATCTGTGATGCAACGTTGCACTACTCTTACAATAGAAATTCAGTCATTAGTTGATTTGCTGGTAAATTGTCCAGTCATCAAGAAGAAAGGTATTACCACTAAAGCGTACCTGAAAATCAACAGCTCCACATACTATTATAAGATTAAACATTTCAGACCAGACAGGTCTAAAATGGGCCAGGATAAAATTAGATTCCCTTTTTATCAGAGCTACTCGTGGATAAGTATTCTGTCACCTAATTTAATGTGCCATATTAAGGGTTATTTTGAAATCTGGACATGAGCCATGACACCACAGGAAGTGTTGTATCTGTTCAAGCTCAACAACGGTGAAGCATTTTTCCCACAGTTTTATTGTCTAGGTGTGTGTTTACTCTTATGTGGCAAACGAGATGCAGTTCCAGTCAGACAAGTCAGCTTAAAACATCCAGTATAAATGAATGTGGAACATCAGACTCTCCAGTAATTTTCTAATATGTTCAATGAGCCAGGGATCTATTCAGTCGCCATGTGATTATGGAATACATAAAATCAAATAAATCTGGAAGGGAGATAAGAGTAAAGTTCAACCATTAGTCTTAATCCATTATCACTTACTGTTGAGTAGATAAGAATAACACTGTAGAAGTCAGTGGATTTATGTTGTTGTAAAGTTCAACATGAGAGAATATGAGAACAAACTGCTCACACAGTTTATTGGGAAATAAAAGGGATGACATAATTATTTTCCAGAGTGCCTCCTATAAATAGAAAGAAAGGTACAGTTTATGGTAAAATATCTCATCAATCAGTAACAGGGCTATTTTATTGCTACTTATCAGATCTATGTGTATATTTAAGACATCCGTTTCTCTTAACTCTGAGGAAATGATTACTTGCCTACATCGCAAACTTTTAGATTATAGGAGCTTGAAAAGTAGAATGAAAAGCTGTCAACAAGCATTATTTAGGAGGACTGGAGTGTCTATCACAACCTATTATTTTAGTTCACCATATGTGTACTGATATGATAATGGATCAGACTTACAATATAAGCAATCTCCTGCTGAGCTCCTGAATACCGCATTTATTTTATCTTAGTTGAAAACTAAGTGGTTAAACAGCTGTGAGGAAGAAGCAGAAAAGTTAACTACAAGATTTTTTCAAAATACTTCTGAATTCATGGTAAGTATTTGATGGGAAACCAAGAGTATTTTCAACAAAGGTTAACAACAGATTTGATGTCTGCTTAATCACAGGTCATCTTGGACTTCTGTCTGACAGTATTTCAAAATACTTCAAAATTGCTGAAAACATATTTCAGATCCAGTCTTATTTACGCTGTAGTTCCATATTTATGACACCTTCTGCAGATCTGAGTGATCTGAATATGTAACGAGAGTAAGATGGAACAGCTACTAACAATTATTAAATACCTGAAAACATAACTTTTTAGACACTGCTATTAACGATCTAGAAAGTATGGGTTTGCAGCACTGGCCCTTGCAAACTGATCACCACTGTGTCTTCTAGTCATGCCACTAAGCTGTCTCTGTAGGTGTCCCTATACACATCCAAATGGTCCAGTGGAATCATGTGAAGGCAGAGCAGTAATAGTGAAAAGATGTGTTTTGTTTCTATTTCACCACTAAGAACTACAAACTTAAAATCAAGGGGTTTATCTCATTGCAGACAGCAGGGTTGGTCCCAAGGAATGAAGGAACATTGATCCACAATTTGGGGGAAAAAATTGTGTTGCAAGAAGTCTCAAAAGTGACACCAAAGTTCATCTGCCTTATGCTATAATAATTATACGAGCCTACCTGTTTTCATACTCACATAAAACATCAAAATGTGCTCCAGGTTGTTCTGCTGTGCGCTAAAATGACAGACCATGGAAACCGTTCCGATCAAGAAGGCGAGGGGAAGCACTGCAAATGCATCTGTGTGTAAATCCCAGTAATCAGCAGATTAAAAATCCTGGTTTGTCCCCTTGGCTTTCTCCTGGCAGCTCTCTGTGGAAACCTCAAGCACTGGGGCAGAGGAGGAGAGGGTTAGGACAATGCCTGATGACACTGATGGATGAACATGAGCCAGCAGTGTGCCCAGGTGGCCAGAAAGGCCAATGGCATCCTGGCTTGTACCAGAAATAGTCTGGCCATCTGGATCACCAGGCACTGGTGAGGCCACACCTCGAGTACTATGTTCAGTTCTGGGCCAGTAAGAACATTGAGGTGCTGGAGCACGTCCACAGAAGGGCAACAGAGTTGGTGAAGGGTCTGGAGCACAAGTCTTGTGAGGAGTGGCTGAGGGAGCTGAGGTTGTTTAGCGTGGAGAAAAGGAGGCTCAGGGGTGACTTTATCCCTCTCTACAACTGCCTGAAAGGAAGGTGTAGCCAGGTGGGGGTCAGGCTCTTCTCCCAAGTAGCAAGTGACAGAATGAGAAGAAATGGCCTCAGGTTGTGGCAGCAGAAGTTTAGGTTAGGACATCAGGAGGAATTTCTTCACAGAAAGTGTGATTACACACTGGAATGGACTGCCCAGGGAGGTGGTAAAGTCACTGTCCCTGGAACTGTGTAAGGAAAGACTGAACGTGGCACTTAGTGCCATGGTCTAATTGACATGGTGGTGCTGGGTCACAGGTTGGACTCGCTGATCTCCGAGATCTCTTCCAAGCCAACTGATCCCGTGATCCTGCGTCACTGCTGGCACACGAACACCGCGCTTGCCGTACCGCCGCCGGGCGGCGGGGAGGGAAGGCAGACCCTCACGCCCTGCTCTCTCGCGAGAGTAGCGCGGACGCATCGCGAGAGCTGCCCGCGCCCCTCCCCCCCCCCGGGCAGGGAAGGTGCTCGCTCCAGCTTTTCCTATTTTCCCGCCGTTCGCGGGCGGAGCCGCCGGAGCCAACCAGGTAACGGCGCGCGCGCCGCTCCCGCTCCGCCCGAGGGACAGGCGCGCCACAGCCCCGCCAGGCCTGGGCCCCCGCCGGGTGCGCTGCCGGCATTGCCCCGCCTGACCCAGGAAGGGGCGTGTTGGACATGCCCGACCCCTCCCCGGCCGTCCCGGCTGCTGGGCGTGACCCAAGCCTGGCGGGAAGTTCCCATGGCAGGATTTCCCAGAGCATCCCGGCGTGTCTCTCGAGTGAGTTTTCTGTGCGGTGTTCGTGCAGGAGGGAAAGGAGAATAAAGTTCACCGCCGGGAGGTAGAGGAGAGTTGAGTTTGTAGGAGCAGCCTGGTGCCTAGGGTTTCTGGTGGGGATCGGGGCTCCGTGTGCTCCCCAGAGTCCCGGAGAGGCGGCGTGTTCCCGGCGGAGAGGTGTAAACTCGGATAAGCAGCCTCGGCGCGCTGTCGGTGCTGCGGCATTGCTGGAGGCAATCACTCGTGTAGCCCTGCAGAGCCTTACGGCGCCGGAGGGAGATGCCGTGTGGAAGAAGAGGGAAATGGACGTATTTAAGTGGTTCTATGAGAGCGTCAGTCGGCAGGATATCCGGGAGAGGGGTTGGCATGGTGCTTCCAGCCCCCCTCAGGCAGCTTCCAGTCCTGTCCCTGCTTGCAAGTGTCTGTACATCCAGCTCAGGTGTTTCGTTTTATTTTCCCGAAGGACTGGAAAGCCCTTTCTTAGGACTGGAGAATAAACCATCACTTTTACACCTGTGCATCTGCCCAGGCCTGTCAGAGGCTCGATCTAAACAGTTGTTAGGGTTCCTGTAGTTTAAGGCAGGTTGAACAGCTGTAGGAAGCAATGTATCGTTTTGGGATCTTGAAACAGGTTAAGCTTGGGAAAATTAGTTGCTTTTTTTTTTTCTCTGTTTGTATTTAGTCGACGTGCTAATCATTTGCAGAAACTCCGAGCAAGTTTTGTGCGTTTTTTATCTCAAAGTCATATTGAGGAAAAAAAACAAAACCAAAACAAACACTAGGGACGGCATTTACTGTCTAGAGTCAGACGACTTATCCTAGGAAATGCTTAATCTGACACACTCAAATCTAAAACAGTAAGTGAAAGCAGGTTTGTGGTTTTCACTGCCCTAGCACTTGACAGAGGAAAAAGATTGAAATATCTGTTGTTGAAGGTGGAAAAACAAGAGTTTAAAAGACATTCCTAATGTCACTAGGCAATTGGTCCCACAAAGAAGCATTGTGAGATGGCTTAATGTGGCTGCACACAAAGTGGAGCATTTCAGCTGCAAAGGTGCAAGCAGATTACTGTTACTTCCACTGAGGAATTGTAGTCATTGCTAATTTGAAAAGTTAATTTTATTTTCTATGAAGGACTTCTTTGAAGATAACATTTACTAGGTTGAAACCAAATACTGAAATAGGCTCTGAATTTTCTATGGACAGAGCATGTTAAAGCATTACTTTGACGTCTAAGTATCCTTCTACTATAGAAAATGTACAGTTCAAGTGTTTCTGTGTTATTGAGAATAATGTTTTGTTCCATTATTTTTATTCCATTTTAAAGACAGCCAGACTGAAAGAAAAGTGACTTAAAACTGTGCACAGAGATATGAGAAAGGAGAGTGGAACCAAAGCCTCCAGGCCCTACACTTGGTTACTGACCACTGGACTGAAGATTTTATCCTGGTGAATCTAGGGGACCAGCTGAACCAGTAGCTGCACCCAGATATTCTAAGTTGCTTGAAGACTCTCAGGGAAGGAAATGCAGCTTGGCTAATTGTAGACCTTGTATCTTTTGAACTACAACTGTAACTTGTGCCTCAAAAATTTGGGAGCAAATTGCTCCTTTTATTTGTGTATGTAGACATAGTGGTTTGCTTGCTCAGGCTGCTAATTTAGGAAGAGTACAAAAAACCTAAGATTTTTTTTTTTTTTATTTCTTGTATTTTGTATTACAGAATCATAGAGATAGCCATGTCCAGCTGGTAATGACACAGTGCCTGTTCAAAAGTGTTTGTTTAAAATTGACTGCATAAAAATGGTGAAAACTTAGAATGGCCAGTTTTACACACAGGGAACTGAAGGATAAAAATTATAGAAGTATTTCAGTATTGGACACCCAGTGCCGATAAAATTGAATCTTACCTTGGCTCAGATCCAGATTTGAGTACTGTGCTCCCCCTGAAGTTTACCTGAGAGCATCATCTTTGCTAAGAAACCCTTCAAAACAGATAGAATTGTGGGTAAGACTATCCTGAGCTGTGTAGGCAGTCAAGCTTTTAAGACAGAGCTATCTGACTTTGGTAGTTCTCCTCAAATATTAATGTTTTGGAGATTTATTAATTTTGAGATTACTCTCCAATTTTCTTTTCATCAGGGAGTGGGAATCATTTCACTGTAGAATTAGGAAGATTTCAAGGGGATGTGAGCTTTTCTTTGCAAAAGGATGTCATTCAAATCCATGTTTATGTAAAGGATGTATATACACAAATAAATCTGTGATAAAACTTTGACAAATGCTTTTGCTGGCAGCCAGATTTTGGCTCACGGATTTGGGTTACTTTTGGAAAACAGGAATTCTGTTTAACTGTATCTTTACATAGGAAAAGCATAAAGACTCCTAAGTATCTTAACCTAATTTTAACCTGATACCTTTTTAAGGGGAGGGAAATTCTGTTAGTTTGTAATTCTTTGCAGCAAAATACTTAGGATCATCAGGGCCTTCAGGGTGACTGTGAGTATAAAAGTATATAAGTATATATAACATATATATCTTCAACAAGGATAGACAGTAAATTTTGTAGTTCATCCATGGCTACAAGTTATACTCTGATACATGCAAACATAAGTGTTGTCATTCTGTTGTTACAGGTATACACCTGTCTTCAGAAACAGCTTCATAACTATGTAATTTAAAATACAAAGTTTGAGAGTGAGCCAGTTCTGCAAATAAGTCAAGGAAGCTGGGAGCAGAAAAAAGCAAGATGAATGCATCTGGAGGAAGCTGTGGGAGCCCTAGTTCTGCAGAACCTTCAGGAGATTTCTTCAAGGAATTGTGGTCCAAACTGAAAGAATGTCATGATAAAGAAGTACAAGGTAAATCGTTTAAGTTTGGGCTTGTCAGGTTAAAGTTTGGATTTGTCAATTGCCACAGGAAGACTTTGAACCTAAATACTTTGCATGGAACTAAATAGATTTTTAGTGTCCTAAGTTATGCAGAAAGTTGATTGGATGATTACAAATGATCCTTACAGATTGACCACCTAAGCCTAGTATAACAGGATTAAGCTATCAACAAGTATAAATGATTTGCTAGGTCAATGAAGAAAAAGTAACACAATATTACATGGAATTTGTGCTTGCTTAGAAAATATTTAAATGGTACTTTACCTTTAATGGATTATGATTCAAAGTTTCCAAACCATGTTATTCAATGAATTTTTTTTCTTCTTTCTTTGGCTTTAGTTACTTTAGATACATTAAAATGATTTGCATTGTTTATTTTCCCTAACTTGTGTGAAATACCACTGTAGATTAATGTTACTGAAATGAAAAGTATTCCTTCGCTTTGTAGTGTTCTAAATTTTCTCAGCAAAATTTATAATATTTTTATAAATGTTTATTCTTACTTTATATTTTGTGACGTGTGATAACAATTTTACTACAGATTGACTGTTAGTGTCTGTTCATTCTTCAGTAGTTCAGGAAAGATGAATTATTGCACTGTATGTGTTGCAATTGTAATATCGTTTTACAGGTAGTACTCATAAATTTTTTTGCTAGAAACTTTTCATAAGAAGTTAACGTTTTGTTCTGCTAATCTAATGTCCAATGTATAGATTCAATAGTTTGCAGCACTGGGCTGTGACACTTCGTGTTATTAATTATTACAAACAAACAAAAAACCCCAACAACCAATCAAAAAAAAATTTATAATTTTGATACCTGAAAGGAAAGACGTACCAGAAAGTAGCATTTTGTTACACTAAAGAAAAGTATATGTTAACCATATGAAATATAATTTTATATTGTGTTACAAAACACACCAAAAATTTACTTTTTCTAAATGACTTTTTTTTTTTAATTGTTGATGGTTCTTTTCGGAGTGGGTGTGATATCAACCACAGGTAAATGCGGAAGTACTGTCAGAATGGGCTCTGGCAATCCGTGGCATGTCTGAACAACAAAAACTGTACAAACAAAAAGCTCCGATGTAGAAAGCTGTGTTAAGTGACCCTTTCTCTAGTTTCTTGGGATGTGCAGCACGTGATTTTAAAGTTTTGGTTCTCTTTATGCAAGCAAGATACTCTTTAGAATGCATGCTGGGTGTGGCCAGGTAATTTTGCCACCAGGCAGACTTTTTCATGCCTAGCCCTTTGTCAGTATGTCCCGCACCGCACTGTGTTAGGTAAAATTAGGTCTTCCATGATAACATCAAAGACATGCCTGAAGGATAGTTAATTTTTTCAGAAGGTGGGGATCCTCTTATAGAAAATGCTACTGGAAGATATTTTAGAAACATCAAACACAGGCTTGCCTGGACTTTGCTTGTTCCTGAAGTCTATAAATAAGAATTAAAATTGACTCATGAGTTTCCAATCTAAATGTCAGCAAAAAATTATTTTAAAGGTGGTGGAAGGTGGATTAAGGGAAAGTTAGTAGTTGGAGAAAAATCTTTTGGTGTGTACAATGCACAGCATACTGAACCCTGAAAGGGTGGAATTCTTATTATTTGTTAACAATCCATGACAAGTAGAATTTATGACACAGGAACTTGAAATGGTTGGACATATTGTGTAAGTTATATCTATAGAATATAGACTAGAGAATACTTTAAACTCACAGTTTGAAATGGATTTTATTGAATTTTGATATTACTTTATTGTAAAGGGTGTGTTTTTCTGTTGTTATCTAAAGAAAAATCCAGCTTCTTACTCTTTTAAACTGATGACTTGCAAAAAATTCCAAATTTTGGCCCTCTTCAGACAAAACAGCTATCATTTAGCTCAAATTCATTATGAGACAATTGGTAGAACACCTACAACCTAGTTTCCAAAGATGCTGGGCATGGTCAGTGTCAGTTGACTTTTCATAGAGTTCAGAAGTGCTCAGCAGCTCAGAATAATGGTGATTATATTTGCTTTTATTTCCTATCTGTAGAATGTGTGGGATACTTGCACAGTGCTCACAAAATTGAAAGGAATTTACTAATGCTTTTTGTAAAGTTACTTATTTCTACAGGTGTTAATTCTTACCTCTGGCTTGAAATAATTATATAGATACTTGGTGCATATGGATCTTATCAAGATGGTTTCTGAGGATTAATTCAAGTCTAAAGCTCTGTACTAAAAAAAAATATGTTTTATATATATATGTTTCAACACAGAAGTGTAAGCAGAGTTTCATGTACAAGAAATAGCCTAGCTTTTTTTCAATTATTCCTTACCTTTTTTAAGCAGAACATATCAATAGAGGAAAAAACTGTAGTCAGAGATGCAGAGAAAACTATGAGGAAAGCAATCCTGTTGATAGATTGCTGTAGGAAAGGAAATAGCTGGAAGGTCCTCAAAAGTAAATAATTACAGAAAATGAAGCTGGAAGGGATTTTAGAAGGTCATCTAGTCCATCTCTATACCCTTAAGTTAGGATTATGTCTGTGTCATTGCTGACAGAAGCTTGTCCAACCTGTTTCAAGAAAACATTAGTGATAAAAATTCTGCAGTTTTCCCAGACACTGTTCTGGAAAATGCATTTAATGCATTTGAAAATTCATCACAACAGAAATTGCCATAGCCATTAATGGGAATGTTACTGGTATGTAGTCTAATCAAGTAGCAAGGTTCATAAAATAGTGTTGTGTGTTTTATTAATCTGCCTAATGACAGTTTAAACAAGATCTCCATCACCTTAATGGGGATAGTGTGCCTTTTACTAATGCTCATAGGAGCTTCAGGCAATGTAGATTTATATAGTCTGCAGCTTGTCTATTCCATAGGAATATTGTGTGAAAGATAAAATTGAATTGGGAAGTTACATAGTGCAATTTCACACAGGTTTATATACTCACTAGAGTGTTAAATAAGGAAACCCAAAAAAGCAAAGCTCCTTAAATGAGTATGCTTAAAAACTCGCAATGCCCTGGAAAAGCAAAAGGAAGCGATTATACCAGATGTAGTAATTCAATGCTCTTGGATAAATGTAACAGACTGGTTTCCTGCCTTCTCACTGCAGTCATTGAACTAAGAAAAAATGCAACCTTTAAGTAACTAGTTTAGTTCCTCCTGAATTCAGGTGAGAGGGGAGATAGTGTTACCTGTAGCACAGTAGTGGGCCTTTTGAGCCCTGCCTCTTCAATTGGTGGCTCAGGTTGCCAAAGTTACAATCCTAAATACTTGCTGAACAGACTACCTGTTCATACAGGAGATGCATTGTTGTGCAGCTTCATTCCTTCCGACGGGTGTGGAGCAGCATTAAAGCACGCTTTATAGGGGTTCTAATTGCAGATGCCTAATTGACTTGATGAATAGCAACTACTTAAAAAAATAAACCCTCTTTCTGTGCTGATCTGCATGATAGAACATAACATCTCACAGGTGCTGAACACTTGGAGATAAAAGAAATCTTGCTGCATTTCCTAACTATTTTTTTAAATGGTCTTTCTGCATTTTTGTCTCATTGTCTCACTGGCATCTTGAAGCAAGCATGGGGTCACTGAGGCTGTGGCTGGCCTGATGTTGTAAGTGGCCTGAAGAGTGAACCTTCTCAAGCAAATAGTTTTCCCCTTTGTTCCCAGTTGAGTGTGGTAGGGGAGAAAAAAAAAGTCTGTTAGCTACCTTAACCTACATTTTCTATAGTAGTATCAACTCTGTGTTTTGGCTTAAATTCAAACTTGTTGAAAGTTTTCTTAAAAGTGTTCTGGTTTCATAAGTTTATCCTATTATCCAAAATGCATAATGCTTTTGCAAGAGAGCTTACAAGACACCTAAATCTCAACTTGAAGTTGGTAGCAGCCTTTCCTAGTTAGAAGAAAATAATGGCACTAGGAAAAAATTATGTTGTTTTCTGATGTCACACAAAAATTTCTGTTGGATTTGTGTTTAAGAAAATGTTCTATCATTGTGGTCTGATTATTTGACCATTTATTTGAACAGGAATGGCCAGCCTGTGTGTGGGTAATCACATACACTTCCATAGCACTGCATCCAGCTTGTTAAGCTGTGCTGTACTTGGAGCACCTTTGTCTTCCTGCCCCTGTGCACATACAAATGCACCCAAAGCCTTGCAAGGAGATTGGTTGGACAGTGTTCTGTCCCCTGGGCTGTCAGCAGGCCACTCCTGCCGAGAACATTAGTTGTATTTGCAGACCTTTTTACTTCTGCACAGAATACATGTTTAGGAGTGTGGGAGTCTTACTGGGAGAAAGGCCACAGATGAAATATCATTCCTCAATTCACCTTAAGATCTTCCAAAGAAGCTTTGGCTGAGAGGGTCTGGTACTTCATCTCCAATGGAGTGCGTTGTCCTTTTGTGCTTTAAAGCCTTGGATCACATATTTTTAGTGTTTCCTTTCTGCATATACACTGTAATGCATTTCACAGTTCAGTGGTTGGATGCTTCATTTCCAGTGTAGTATTATGCATTTATGTGCACACAGAACATAATTTATGCTACTTAGGTGGACATAGTCAATGAAAATATATTGATGGTGCTGCCTATTCATGTGTGGTTTTTTTACAAAAGTGTTTTATACCTGTTTAAGTGGGAATCTGAGTGTTTGTTTAAGTCCCTCTTTCCTAGAGATTATAATAACTATATTTGTTTCCAAGATCCTGTAGAACATACTTGAAAAGTCCAGAATGAACCATTAACTTAGCTGGTTAGAGCACAGTCCTAATAATGCCAAGGTTGTCGGTTTGATCCCCATAGGGGCCATTCACTTACGAGTTGGACTCGATGATACTTTTGGGTCCCTTCCAACTCAGAATATTCTGTGATTTCTGTGATCTTCTCTCCAGATTAGTGACATTTTTTTTGTCTCTTTGCAGATGTCATTGGCAAAAGGAAAGTTAATTTATTGTTTCACTAATTTTTTAAAATCAGAATTCTATAACATGTATTTTCTTCTTTCTACTTTTCAGGCTTACAGCTGAAAATATCTAAGTTAAAAAAGGAAAGATGCTTGTAAGTACTCATCCCAATGATCTAATTTATTAAAGGAGAGTCAGACTGCCATTAATGAGCTGTAATTTTTGTAAGATCAATTCAGATTTCATGGAATCTTCCTTCAGTTGTGTACAAAACTCTACTCACTTCAGTAATTCAGCTGAAGTCATCTGAAGATGTACGTAACTGTTTATAGGGTATGTACCCTGAACACTGCATTTGCCTTCTTTGAAAAAGTGACTCCTACAGTATTCTTATCTATAGTATTTCTAGGATGCCAGTCAAGATGTTGGCATTGCTAATACAAAAGATAATTAAGGAGACATTTTAAAGTTGAGGTCAAATCTGTAAAGCGAAGTAAGGGACAAGACAAGAAGCCAACTTTATTTAGATTTTTTCTTTTTGGCTACGTTTGCCTTTAATACCAGGTATTGTGCATCAACTCAGCTTTCAGTCAATTCAGTAAAGATTCTGCTAATAGTCTTGCTAATTTTCACTCAATTCTTATATTTTAATATTATAATATGTATTTACAGCATTAAATTAGCATTTCTTTTCCTTCTGCTGACTACAGCCATATTTAATTAAATGATAACAGTTATGCATATGTGACTGTTTATTTAAATTTTCACTTCAGATTTGATTACATTAATATTATGGTATTATTACATATGATCTGTATTATGAGTTGCACTTTATAAAGTGGCTGTGTAGGAGGAATAGGAATAAATTACTTGATCTTTTTCCATTGTGGAAAACAATATAATTATATTAGATATATTAAAGAAATTAAACTCTTCTGAGAAGTAGCAAAAATGCTCCAGATTTGAATTGCCATCTGCAGTCAAAGACATATACTGAAGAATCACAAGGAATATATTTATGTTAGTACATAATATTATATTAGGTTATTATACAGCTTTCAATTAGCCAATATGTGGTGCTATGTATTATTCTTAGAGACTACACTTACGCTCCTGGAAAAAATCAATTTAACATCTTGTTATTTCTTAAGTATAATTTATAAATTAAGTAGTTATTAATTTTTTAGTCTAAAAGAATGAAATTATCTCTTGCTGATATTGTTAGTCTGGTGTATCATAAGTTGCTTTCATGTTCTAAAATCTTAAATGATCAGTCAGTTTTCTAGATGATGAATATTATCAGTGGAGTGACACATACCAAATGGTTTAATCATTATTTGTTGGAATCTCTCTTCAACTCCCACAGTGTAGATACAGTACTGTTACATAGGAGGTCTTGTTCTCCTTAGTGCATCTGAATACCTGAGGTTTAGTATTTCAGACTTGGTAATCAGCTGACAATGAGTGCCTTATTTTGTATCCCACTCCAGCATTGAGGCTAATGACTTGTAAACTCTAGGTCAGAGACCAGCCATTATGCAGGGTACCTTCATAGCCAAAAATGTCTGTGACGTTTATCAGCTGCACTGGAATTTTAAGGGAAAAAAAAAAAAACAAAACAACAACCTAGTTCCTTCTGTCATATTATTACCTTCATGGAACATTTTATAGGGTTTAGGTGGAAAGCATGTATATTAGTGTATGTTATTGTCTTATTTATTTATTAAAAATAACTTAAGGCCATAGAATGACTTAAAGTTAGCTAGAGAAATGATTTTAAAATTTGCTACTTTAGTCCTCCTGTAAGTTGCATAAATTGAAAAAAAATAGATTTTTGGTTTTTTTAATGCCTAAACACCAGAAAAATACAGATTGCTTTTCTCAATTCAAATTTTGCCATGACCTGGCTGTACTTGGTTAATGAACTGATGTAACAGAACTTATACGCATTGTCCTCCCCAAGTGGAAGTACAAGTCTTAAACGGTCCCTCGTGCTGTTTGCATGTAACTGTTTTGTAGGTTGAATATGCAATTGAAAAGGCCTAAATTGGTCTCAATGGTAGTACAGAAAGATAAAGCGTCTGTATTTAAAATTCAGGATTAATAAAACATGTCTGTGATTGTACACTGTAGAAGCTTCTAGCAGTCCCACTCTGTGCCCCATGATTTCTAATTTCTTGTATTACTGGAATGCCAGCAATATGAAAATGTGTTTGACTAAACATGTGTTAAAGGGATAGTGCCAATATAAAAGTATGTTTGTGTAAAAGAGCTGTATCAACAAGTTAGTAAATATGTTTTCATTTCCTGTTGTGTGTGAGCTTAACAGCTTTTCATGAGCCAATTTCATGGCTTCCTCAAATAATCCATCTCAGGCACACTGAAAACAAACAACCACTTTCATGGATATATACAAAGGATTCCGTGGTAAAAAGAAGAGCTGGAAATGAATTCTTTGAAGTTAGTCATTGTCATGTTACATAGATTCAGTTGCTTAGCTTTTACTGAATGTTAATTGCCTTGTAGAAAAAAAATTGTTCTTCTACCTTGTACTTTACATCTTGAGGAGGTGGGGTGATCCTATAATAAAAGTGAAGGGGAGCTAAAACTGGGAAGTTAATGTTACTGCTTTTCCTTACCTCTTTTAAGGAGGAGATACTCTTTGCTAATTAATTAACTCTGGCTTTTAGGGAAGGTATTTTTCTCAAGATCTTCTGTTTCTGAGGGGTTTGGAAAGAGAGTTCTTTTCGCTGTATTCATATTACAGGAATACATGCTTTATAGACTCTGCAAATTGTTTCTTGAGAAAGTAAACCTCTAATGGACCTAAAGATCTTTCAGACATTTCTAAACCTAATGTGGTTTGCCACACTGCAAGATTCACTGCCTGCTAAGAAAAGACCAAAATGACCTGATTGTGAAAGCCCCCATTAGATTCCCAACAGCTCCACAACACAGTGAAGTGTAAGAGAAGTGTTTGTGCTTATATTCTCTGAGATTGTTGCTTGAATGTTATTAGCTTTTGTGCTTTGACTGTCAACTCTTAACTTTTACCTGAGCAAAAATTAGATTTATCAACAGAAGATCAACTGTAATACAAATTAGAAACTAGCTGCATATTTCCTAATTCAGTCATTTCTAAATTATCGTTCATCACAAACACTTGCTTCATTTGTCTTCAACTTAATATTTGTGCTGAAAATAATAAGATTTTCCCAAGAATATGAAAGAAACATCCCAGAGAGAATTCTCTATTGAAAAATTAATAACTGTAATTTAAAGGTAGAACTAATTTTTCTCTGTTTGTTTTCAGGGATGCAGAGAGGCTTGAAGAGTTCTATACCAAGAACCAACAGCTCAGAGAACAGCAAAAAGCACTTCATGACACCATCAAGGTTTTAGAGGACAGGTGAAGTAGTGTTTTCTAGCTTTTGAGTTTGCTGTGTTTTGCTCTTACAGAGTAGCTCTGGATACTTTGCCAGTTGAATTTATTATGTTTTGGTGGGTTTGTTATATTGTTATTTTTGAAGTGCTTAGTTTGCTTAGTTCAGTTAAGATAAATAAAATAGAGCAGCTTGGGAGGCAAACAGACATTTTTGGGTGCATTCTCTTACATCCAGTTTTGTAGAGGTAAATTTACATATCAACCAAGACATAATACAAGTACAAAACCCAAAGGCTATAATATATTGTGAAGCTCATTAAATAACTCATTAGGAAATCTTTCAAATTTGAGGAAATCTTTTTTGCCAGTTGTCTGTTTTACCTAAATTTAATTACAGGTTCTGTCCTTTGCTTTCTTTTGGACTTAGTTGTTCTCATTGCCTTTTGACCCGTTCTGCCTTTCCCTTATTTGTTCCTGTTTAATCTGGTATAGCAGAACAAAACCAACAGACATGAAATTACAGTGCATTTTTTCATCTTTAAAAGTTATACCTGTTTTGGAACATGTATGTTAAATTTGCTGTTAATAGGCTCTCAGAAGCTTTCTGGGAACAGGACATGATTACATAGTAAATTATTTTCCAACATTCCCTGTTACTTCAAATTTTAGAACTGTGATACTCAAATTTTGATTTCAACTCTGTTTCTCTGTGAAAGGCTTTAGGAATAAACTTGTAACCATGCAGGTAATAAACTTTCATACCATGTAAGTAAAGAGACACTCATAGTGTGGACGGACTTTTCTAATCCTTTAGCAGATGAAGAGTTTACATTGCGGAAAACTAAAAGAGTACTTAAAATGATTTAATACAACGAGATTATAATATATTGTCTATTATACAATTAGATAATATGAAGAGGCATTTCGGTATTTATTCTTTCCATAATTCCACAATATTAGAGTACCAATAAACCAGTATGGCTTTTACTTCCAATATTCAACTGTTTGGAAATTGGAAATTAAAATTGGAAACTTCATTTGTTTGGGTTTTTTAAATACTTCATGTGGTAGCAGCAGCAGTGCAGAACTGTTGACTGACTGGTTTCTTATTTAGCAGGCAAAAGAGAGTCTGCTTTTCGCTTTGGTAATACTGTTAGCTTTTTATTGTGTACCAGAAAGAAATATACTTCAGTTATCACCTATAAAATGAACATATATTTCACTGCATGAATGAATGTACCAGGTAAGGTGGAGTGATTGTAACAAGTACTTTCTGGTCGCAGATGTGCTTTAAACAGCTGATCTAAACCATTAGAGACAGTGAAGTCAATGCCTCACATGACAAACTTTTGGATCCACTTTAGTTATTGGTGTCTACATAAAAGATTTCACATTTGCATGGCATTTGTTATGGAGTGAACTTTGTCCTTTTTATTTGATTGTTTTACTTAATGACAGTAATATATCCTTCTTAGATAAAGTAATAATACTGAATACTTTCTGAAACACTTACTAAATACTTACTGAAATTGTTTGCTTATTTGTATTTTCTTGAATGAACTTTACCTACAATGACTGGTAATTTATGTCTGACATTATCCTTAGTAGAACATCTCACAAAGGCTTTCAGTGGCAAAGTGTAGCATGCTCTACTTTATTTAATAAAGTAATGCATGTTACTTTAGAAGTATCAAATATTTACAATCATTTATGCAAATGTTAGTTCATGTAGTATTAGGTCATTTGGAAATCTTAAAATATTGCTATGTCAACATATAAACCCACAGTACTTAGTGGCATTCTGCACAGTTTTCTGGTATTCATTGTTCAAAAGATCTGTTAACGTGGATATCTGCTTCATGTATGGCAATATTTTCTTAACAGAGGGCATTTTTTTCTCAATTTTATTGTAGATTAAGAGCAGGATTATGTGATCGATGTGCTGTAACCGAAGAACACATGAGAAAGAAGCAGCAAGAGTTTGAAAACATCCGGCAGCAGAATCTCAAACTTATTACTGAGCTTAGTGAGTTTTATCCACAAGTCTGAAGGCAAAACATACTATTTTGTAGACTAGCTCTTCATGAATTCCTGTAACTTGATATAATTTATATGTGGTGTGCTTAGTAAGCCCAAAAAGTTCAGTCGGGGGATACTTTAACTTTACAGTCTGAAAATATGTAACATACCAATTACTAGTCATTTGACCCACCTTCTTAGATTGAAGTGCTGATACTGAAAGTGAACTGACGTGGAAAATCTTACTGTGTAAAGTAGCTACTTTAGATAAAATGTGGCTGCTTCTGTTTATTCCTGCAGCTAGAATGACTGATTGCCAGCTTTCCTAAAGAAACCATGACTTCAAAGGAACTGGTGATCGCAAAGTAGCAGGTTCAGACTAAGTGCCCTGGGTCCAGCTTGTGTCCTGTAGTTAGCTGAACTTGAACTTTAACTGCAGTAAACCCATAACTTTCACATGACCCACGGAAACCACAAAAGAATCTACACCAGGCAGCTTGTAGGCAGCACACTTTGAAATCAGGAAGTAGTACATGTGGGGCAAAATAAACTCTTCTAGGTGACATTCAAGCAGGACACAAATGCATTCATAAAGAGAGTTTGGAAAGATTGGTTGTATGAAGTGCTAAATAATACAGGACAGGATACTAAAATGTTAGTTGTATCTTTACCATTAATTATTTTGTATTATTTAGTTGTCTTACTTGATCAAGAGCAAGCAGACTTTCAATGAGATTTAAAACATGAGAAATTCCAAATACAAAAAGTAGCTTTTCAATGCTTAATTAAGTTATGGAAATATTATGTTCCACGCTAATACAAAATACATCAATTTTTGAAGGATTTTTATTATTGGACATTTGTGTAAAAATATTCTGAATTCTGTGTTTAATGATTGGCTGAACCCTGTTAATCTTTAAATAAAGCTCTGAACCTTAAAAATCGAGGTGAGACCTATTAGGTGCAAACCTTCTGGAACACTGTCTGACAGAACAGTAGGATTCTGTGGATTTGGGTTGAGATCTATATGACAACCAGTGGAAAAGGTCAGTCAAAAGTAATCCAGTGGTAAAATATACAACAACAACAAAATAAGAACAAGAATACAAAAATTAAAGCAAACAGAGAAGTTGGGAGCTAATCACTATGTTAGTTTGAGACAGCATGGAAAAAAGGCTGAAGGGTGATGCCATAAGCTTGCGTGAAGCACAGACAGAATGAATTGGAAATTAAGAAAAGTAAAATCAAAAAGTTCTGATTAGTCTCTCTTAATTTCCAAAATATTTAACTGATTTTAAAGAAATTCTTGGTGGAGGATTTTTTTCATTCTCTTCAACTATCTGGTTGCTTCAGTGGCTAAAACCAAATTCTAATTGTTTTATACTTCATGGGTTATCCTCAGTCTAAGGAAGCAATTTCGTCCAAGAATTCAAGTGAGCAATTCATTCATATTTACAGCACAGTCTCGCTTGTATCTACATGGAGAAAAGTAATTAATGAATGTGTAAAACAAATACTATGATCCAGTAATTGTGACACCTTTCCCTTTTCTAACACATCATTTGCAACCTTTTTAATGATTAGCTTGAAACTTCATTTTTGTAAACCATAGAGAGGGTTTCACATTTTACAATTTTACATTTTGTAATTAGTTACAATTACAATTAAAGGACCTGGCAAAATTATGATATTAACATATGTTTGGTTTTCTTTTTCTCTTTTTTTGTATAAACTGCAGTGAATGAAAAAAACAACTTACAGGATGAAAATAAAAAGATAACCGAACAGTTCCAGCAATTACAGAAGGAGCTGGAGTAAGTTTTGAGTTGTTTTAGATATTTCCCCCTTTCCCCTATTCCCCAGTAGAAATGCCTGGGAATATAAACATCAGCTTTTAAGTGTTTAAAACTTGTTTCCTTATTTTGATAGATTGTGAAAAGATAGCATACTGCCACTATAGCAACATAAGCCTAGCCTCTTTCTGTTGTGCAGATTTTTTGTTTTCTTTTAAATGAGCACGTCTTTTTTTAAACCGAGAGAGGTAAATCTGTCATAGGAATTTTTTTGACCTCTGGTCATGGTATATAGCAAAGCCTTATGTCTCATACTTTTATTCCTCAGTCGACTCTTTATCAATTCTTTCCTTCTAGGTTAAAACTTTAGAATAGTAGTTTCTTAGAAAATCCCAGGATCTTACAATAAATTTTTAAAATAAACTTACGATAATGTTACAATTTTAAAAGAAAAAAGACCATAGTAAATTTTGAAAGAAAACCATGAAAATGGGAAGCTACGAAGTGACCGTCAAATTTTAATTTGAAATAGCAAGAATGTGCCATGTAATGTGGCTAATATGCAGATATGCTGCACTGTGCAAGTCAGAGGTAGTGTTCCGTTCTTGTTATGGTTTGACATCATCTGAAACTTATCTCACTTTTGCATATCTGTGAATAAGTTGTGTACATGCACGGGGGAAGTGGGGCAGGATGTGTGGACGTGATATGTCAGCCTTTTTATGCACCTAATTTTTTCTTGTCTTTGTCAGAAGATAGCTTCGATAGAGAAGTAAAACAACTAGATTTCTATTCAGAGTTACTGTGGTCCTATTACTTTGTATTTCTTGGTTTGTCTCCCATCCTTTTGCACCTTAATTGTAATTTCTTTTTCTGTATGCATTTAATCTTCTTGGAGTAACGTACTTCATGACCATAGGAGTATTACCTTTTAGTACCAAGTAGGAACAAATTTCTATATCCTTCGCAATGTGTAATTGCTGCTCAGCAGCAGTTCTTCTATGCAGTGAGGAGATGACTTGAAAAAAATTAGCACCAGGCAGATCCATCCTAATTCATTTAGTTTGATCTCCAATCTTGTGGTTTAGCTTCCTGTAAAAATCTCCAGCCAACGTGGGAAAGTTGAGAATGACCAATGTAACACTAAGTTACTTACTCTTCGTGTTAGGTGGTCATGTAAATGAGTGCAGAGTTGAGTGAATAAACAGTAATTAACAAGGATGGCCCTTCTGTTTTTAATATAGTCACTGCATTTGGATGTTTTGGTTTAACTATAGTCGTTACTTTATTTAGAATTAATAACTTAGATCAATATACTATCAATGTGTAGGTGTAAAATAGCAAGTCGTTTCTGGTCCATGACATGAAATCAGATTTTTGAAGTCTTCTGTATTTTGTTACCAAGGTGCAATATTAGGGAAAAAAATCTAAGAATTCTCCATAAAAGTGAAATCAATGAAATTGTAGAAGAATTGTATTATCTGATCCTTTAACAGATTAGGATTTCATTATGTGTGGATGGAAACAGCAAGGAAATTTCTGTGAAAACCTTTTCTGAGGTGTCAGATAATTCCATGGTTCAGAATTTATTGTAGTTATGTATGTAGCAGCTTCTTCAGTTGGTGGCATTGTTATGTGATGGTATGTAGGAACTACCTCTTAGTTTCCACAGAACTAACATACTGAAAAATACATTTATAGTAGGTTAATTTGTAATACAAGGCCACACACGCCAGTAAATTTGAAGAGAACTTTAACAGCCAACTTAAATTTGCAAAGTAAATAGATGAATGTATTGTTTTGCTGTTTGTTTTGATTTGTTTCTTAAGATATTGCTAGTAGATGATACAGTTTTCCAGTGCTTTTTTTTTTTGTAAATCTGCTAGAAAAGAGGAATTACAAAATCACACAATAGGATTCGTCAAGGCTTCGGAGCATCAAGTGCGTCAATGTTTGTTATTAAGTGTTCAGAGTTAATCATAGTAAAAAGCCTAAGTGCAAAAATGCTTTTTGTCTTAAGCCAGACAGCTTTTTACGGTTTTTCATTACCTTATTTTATATAAGATCTTGTGGTTCACTTCAATCTAAGCAGAAATATATCTGCATTTCCTCTTCTTCCCTTAGATCAAAACCTTATATCCTTCTCTTTTTATAGTTAGGAAATGATCTTTTGGCCTGTGTTTTCTCTTGAGAATCATAAAGAAAAGTGCAACTGCAGAAAGATGACCAAGCAGGCCGAGTTAGATTTCTGTGTAGTTTTCTTTTACTGCCTCTTCCATTTCTCACTGCCACCACCACAGAGCAGGTAGCCTCTTATTAAGTACTAAACAAAGTGTATTTAAGTTAGAAGATCCAAAATTAACGCTTTTTTTGTTGTTATTTCCTTGTTATGTCTAGATACAGTTTTATGAAAGAAAATACAGCTATTTTTAATGCTAATTTTTATATACTGACTCTGCAACAGGCTGTTAGAGCTGACAGTGTGAGAGAAGATAAACGCTGCAACTCATTTTCTGTTTTAAATTACCTGCTTTACATGCTTTTTACATTAATCTCTGAAGACCTTGTGAATTGGAGGTAACATCAGATGTTTTGTATTTAAGACAGTTAGTATTCTTGGGATGTACTGGAAGAGACACTAATCCATCTGTTTCAGCATTCTTTTGTTAAAGTAGCACATGCTTCAGAGAGCAAACTGTAAACTCTCCAATGCCTAGGTTCTTCCAGGGAAAAAGTCTTCCACCGTGCAGTAGTTATATGTTGACTTCAAGTGTGAAGAGCTAGGGTTTTATGCTGTTCCTTGGCTTGAAGAAGCAATGGTGAATTTGGTTTTCGATATATCTAAAACCTGGCTTGTAGTATTACTTTTTTACACTGTGATGCTATTGAGGTGGCTGCATTTCCTAATTGTTGCTTTCTTGGACCATATAATTGTCCTGCTTGCTGAAATGTAAACTCTTCTTGCTGACTTGGGATTTTTATTTGACCACTTGATTTGGTCTCCAGGGAGCAAAAGCAGCAAGCAGTGGAATTAGAAGAAGGAATCATTCCAGATTCTCCAGTTCTGACCTCTTCATTTTCTGTGGTTAATCGTATGAGGAGAAAAAAAGAGAATAGGCATATTCGATACACAGAACATGCACACTCAGATTTGGAACTTAGCAACAGTGGTAAGAGTACTGTTTTTGATTTTTTTTTTATTAACTTAAAAATTATCTTAAGGGCTATAGAGAAAGATGATGTATAAATTTGATTGCAAAGGGCAAAAACTAAAAAAAAAAAATAATCTTATGCCTTTTTTTGGTTTGCCTTTTTCCTTTTTGTGCAATAATACGTGACTCAGGGGAAAATGTCTTTGACAGTAACTGTTATGTCAGCAGTATGCTCAGAACTTATCTCAACCTTCTCTTCATCCATGTGCAAATGTAACAGTTTTTCAACCTGTATTCCTTCCGTAAGTACAAATTAGCTAAAAAAAATCTGTTCTGGTTTGCCTTGTGCATGCAGCGATGCCACCACCTAGCGGAGAGGGAAACAAATGTTTTGCCACATTCTGCAATTCTTCTGCAGAATATGCAAATTAAAGTAATTTTACTGAAACTGGTAGATACCTACATGATCTTTCTTCTTCTAGTACTGATACACCATTTGCATTTTTTTTCTGTCTTAAGTCTAGGAGTATTGTCCACAGTTTATTTCCTGACTTTGTTCTGTAAGTTCTAATGTATTTTAACTATGAGAAATATTTTTGTGAAATAAGGGTCTTTGTGCTTGTGTTTTAATGATACACAGGAAATACGATAATCCAGGTGCTCTTATTTTGTTAATCTATCTTCTGGCATAAAAAAAGATATTTTAAATAATATATGAGTATATTTAAATAGGAGTCTTGAGTAAAAGCCTCTTTCGAAGAAGAAAAATAGGACAACAGTGGGGTAAAAAGGGTGAGCTGGTTATTCGTGGCCTTTAGTTTGCATTTGAAATTTTTAGTACTGTGAATAATTTCTCCTTTCTAAGCATAGCTATACCTCTCCACTTTCTGAATAAAAAAATGGAGCTACTAAATGAATCCAAAGTATAATATGTAAGAAATGGTGTAAATACCTGTCACAGTTAATGCCTATGGAAAGCTGTTGGTCATCTGGACGGAAAAGACTACGGGGCAGAGTTGACCATAATTCAGATCTCAGGTTTTCACCTTTTCACTTTATTACGTTAGCTGATGCAGAACATTAGTCCCTTGGATGGTTTACTCTCTAATTGTTTTGTTGCCATATTAACAGGTAAAATAGAGCTTGAATACATATATTTATGTGGTCAGTATAGACAGTGGTGTAATTCTTTGTTAGTTATTGTTTTAGGGCTGACCGGCTGGGATCATATTTGTGAGAAAAAGGATTAATATGAAATATTTGTGGCTTTATTCTGAGGTATCATTATGACAAATTATCAGGTGTGCTTAGATTACTGGATCTACTGACATATCAAAACTCATATTCAGGACCTTTTAAGGTCAGGATCATTGTCTGTATCTACACAAAATTATCACAACAGGATACCTAATTTCACCGAGTGAAAATGTTTCTACATCTCCTAGAGTTTGGAAAAATTCCACTCTTTTCCACACAAGTGAGCAGTAACCACAGAGAAGAGATACTAGTGGCAGACACCTGTGATCCACAACTGTCCCCTGTACCAAGTAAGTGTGTTAATAGATTTAGTTCTAATTCCATTCAAAATAAGGCAAAAATATTGTAAAACTGAGGGTTCATCTCTTTAACAAAGAAATGTAAAAAGGTGCAAACCTTTTTAACTAATGACTGTGAGAATTAGCATGGAATCATTCGTGCAGGTCATGGTTGTGGTGGTTGTAGTTCTTGTACTTTCCAATCTTATTAACTTGCACCAGCTTAATGAACTGTGTAATGTTAAACCCCTCAAAGGGAAACTCATCTATTTGTTTTTCTAATAAAAACATAGGAAAAATAATGGTGACTGTCACCAAGGAAATATGCAAGAGAAGCATTTTACTATAAATATACGTTACCACTGTTCTATGTGCTTTTCTCAGACTATTCCTGCCCTGGACTGGGAGATTGAAAAGCAACTTTTACACTGACTTGTCTTTGTATGCTCATTTTTGGAAGCTATATTCAGATTGGAAGCATATTTCTCTATGCTGATACAGCAGTTTACTCTCATCAGAAATTCTTCTTCTGCCCCCCTCTTCCACTTAGCACTTTCAGATATGATTTTTATCTGATACAGGTCAAACTATTTCCATAAATGCCAGTTTTAATTTGTGTACTTTTTAGTTCTGTGTTTGTACCATCTGTGTGAGTGGAGTAAGAGACTATAATATATATGTAACTTACTGTGATCTTCTCACAAAGATAAACCAAGAGTAGGAGGCTATCCCATTCCAAAGCCATCTTTTAACTTGGCTGCAGTTGTCGCAGAAACTATTGGACTTGGTGTTCAAGAGGAATCTGTAAGTAGTATTCCCAAATTTCTTACATAACCAGCTTTTTGGGCCAGTTGTTTTCAAAACCAGTGTTTTTCCTCTTTTGCATTAAGATTCTGCAAAGGTATTCTGAGTTCCAGTAAACTCACTTTGGTTTGCTTTTGCTTACTCATTACTGAATGGCTCTAGCAAGAGGAGATACAACTCAGCTGACCTATCTGGGGGCTGGAGAGAAGGGTTGGGACATGGTTCCCACTTTGTATAGAACTTGCAAGTTTTATTAATACAGTGATCTAAACCCTTGGGTCTGCTGCCAAACTCTCTTTGTGCAGTAATCAAGTCTAAGACACTGAAATAGAGTATTAGGTGATGAGACTGTTTGGTGATTCCAGGTCAGATTACTTGATGTTTTTGCTTGGAAACTACCATGAAAATTATAGTATGCAGACTATTTCTCTGTGTGAGCATTTGAATGATGAATTATTTTCAGTTTCCATAAGATTTCTTTAAAGTTGCTGGCCAAAAGTTCATCTCCTAGCTTTTATTATTTTTCATGAAGTTTTGAATGTTTCAATTTGAATTGGTCCTCTGAGTATTTGTGTGCAAATCTAGCACATTTCTAATTTTTAATTCTGATATTTCTAATTTTTAATTCCAATACCTTCTCACGCTTCCTTTCTTTGTTTTCCTTCACCATCTATAGGAATCCCAGAGTGTACTGAATCTTCCCCACACTAATACAGTTATGAGCCAGGCCCCAGAGAGCATGCAGACTGAAGACTCAAGAAAGCATCCAGCTTCTGAATCAAGAAATGATGACAGCAATTTAGGGTGTGTTTCCACACAGTTATAATAATACTGTTTTAAGCAGGCTTATATGAAGTTCTGGTTTTAGTAGAATTTAAAACCTTAACAGCATTTTGCTTTAAACACATGGAAATAAGTGTTTTCATATCATAGGTGTTTCTTTCAAGTAAATAACATTGGAAGCAAAGAAACTGATAGAATGCAAAACTGAGGACTTTTACTTCATTCACAAACTTCTGATTTGGGCTTTTTGTGTACACAGTCCCTGCCTTCCCAGCTTCTCATTATTGCAAGGCATCGTGTGAGGCTCATAACCCTGGGGATAATGGGCCTAAAGCTGGAATAGGAAAATGATCATTAAACTTTTCTGCTGATTAGGTGTCATACTGATTTAATGTTGCCCTTCCCATTCTCCTAAGGGTGTTGTGGTCTAAACTGAAATTTTTTGGCCCTATTTGTCATCTCAAATGTATGTTTTATTGATGACGGGTAAGAAACAGAGTACCTGAAAGAAGCTTGCACTTTTTTCCTTCACTTGGAGAAGCTTTGAGAATATGTTGTCTTGGTTTTAAGATCTATACAAGATCCTAGATTGGTTGCAATAGCAGTCTTTCTCTTTTTCTTCCTTTTCACTGCACTGAAAGGTAGGGAGTCCTTGGATAGAAGAGATTCTTAGGCAGGCTTAGGTCTGTCCACTGTTTTCAGTTGAATGTGGAACAGATTTTCACACCATACCAAAATGAAGGGCAAGATCTGTGTTTTGTTTGCCTTTTCCAGCTCTTTAATTGCAACAGTACTTACTCCTAGAATAAGTTCCCTTTGGTTTTTCTTTCTGTTTTCAGTTAATACTAGCAATCTGCACAGCTTTATAGCAGATCAGTAACAGGAAACTTAGAATTTCTGTATATCCCTTTCTCTCCTCCCAGCCTGTGTACACCAGAAAAATCTCTCATCTCACATTGTATTCAGTATTTCAGATCCATCTCAGAACACTCCACCACATGTTGACTGGGATTCTCAGGTAGCTTCTCCTGTTTTTGGAGCTTCTAGCAGTATGAAGAACAACTCAAGTATAGGTCATGCTCCTTGTATTTTAGATTCAGGATTGAAGGCTAGTCTCAAAACCAACCTCTTCAACAATCCATCCAGTTCCAGATCTCATAAAAGTAAATCAAAATCTGAAGATGTTGCTTTTGTTTCACCACTGAATCTTGGAACAGAAATCAACTCAGTTATCAGCCAGGCGTCTATCAGTAGGCAAATGGTTGTGAAAAAGAATACTAGTGAGGCTGTAACCTGTGTTGGAAACACTTGCACAGCTAAAAATGAGGTGATCAAGAGCGATTTCCTTCTCATGCACCAGAAGCAGCTAGAAGGCAGGTGTGCTAAGAGAAAGAAAACTGAAGACGATCATGCAGTTAACTGTGAAAAAACATCTTTCAACAAAGAGAACTCTGTGCCCTTTCGATCAGATGTTCAGCATATTAATGGGGAACATACAGTTGATAAGCCCTTGGATCTGTCCGATCGCTTCTCTGGAGTCCGTTGTCAAGAGAAAAAACAAGGAAGTGAGGAGACATGTAAAAATAGACTGAAACAGGTGACTCTGAATGACATTTTTTCACACCTGGGGAAGCCCATTCCTGAAGGTTTATCGTCCATTCAAAATGCCAACGAGAGCTGTTTGTTTGGTAGAGATTTACAAGAGGAATCGTATGTACAGGAGGCAATGCTGGGAAAAACATTTCCAGATAAGAAAAAACAGATCCAAATGAAAGAAGAAGTTCCTCCCTTCAAATTTGCACCATTGCCAAGTTCTGCAGAGACAGAGGAACTTTTTGGTGATGTACAGGTACACTTTTCTGACTTCTTTTCTGCTCCTTTGAAATACTATATTTAAGTTTTGGGAAATAGTAAAATTGCAATATGTTGTTAGGTTGCCGGTGGCCATGTACCAAATAGAAGGAAAACAAGGACAGGACATGGAGAGTCTGAACCAGCATCTGTGCTTCAACCAAACCCTTGCAGAGTATCAAAAAGTAAAGCACTGCAAAATGAGCAAGGTAACTTGATGAAAATGTTCCTTTTATTGCTGCTCTACCGCCTCAGCCTGCGCTATGGTTGAATAGAATGTTTCATATGTTACTTTCTTCCACTTTAATCACTTCGTTGTGCTTCTAACTCAGACTCATTCTACTCAGGACTTCTTAAGATCACCCCCCACATTTACAATCTGTATCTTCCTGGCATTCTTTTGCCACTGTTTAATAAATATATTGTTGGTATTCAGGTGTATACTCAACAGGCTAGGAATCTTGTTCTTTCTTGTTTGTTTAGCATTGCTATTGTTTAGCAGTGTAATAATAAAAATCTCAGCAAGTTTGAGTTTAAACTTTTTTCAAATGCTTGAAAACTGTACTTAAGTGTAAGGATAAGCTATTTAGTTAATATTTTTCATTATTCCTAATGATTTCTTAAGGAAATTTTTGCCTTTAGTGATAATAAACATAGGCTGCCATATACTCTTCCTGTATATATACTCTTCCTTGTATCTTCTTTCCTATTAAGTGTTCTCAGTCTGAAAACTAATTTTTTGAACTAGGATTGTAAAATCAAGGCTTCTGTACTCCCTAGGTGAACTATTACATTTTATTTAGAAATACTTGTATTATGAGTTTAAAACATATCTGTCACTAGTTGGTGTGGCTCAGTAGCTTGGAATCTAAATATTCTCTTCACAGACAAATCAAGAGACATCTTTGGAACAATGCCCAGACACTTCTGTACTCTTTTCTTACACTTCTATGCTCTTTTCTTAGACCTGACTCATTGATCTAATGTAAATAACAAGCCAATTAGGGAAGGCACCCCCTGGACGTGTTGTTTGTGGACAGAAGGACTGGTGGGTGAAGTGATGGTTGGGGCCATCTTGAGCACAACAGTCACAAAATGATAAGAGTTTTCAATTCTCAGAGAAGTAAAGAGTGAGGGGGTAGCAGAACTGCCACCTTTGACTTTTGGAGGGGAGACTTTGGCCTGTTTAGGATACTGGTTGACAGTTTTCCCTTGGGAGGGAGTCCTGAAGGGCAGAGTAGCCCAGGAAGTCTGGACATTCTTCAAGAAGGAAATCTTTAAGGAGCAGGCTGTCCCGATGTGCTGAAAGATGAGCTGGTGGGAAGGAAGACCAACCGGACTGAACATTGCCTGGAACTCAGGGATCCAAAAAAGAGAGTTTATGAGCCTTTGGAAGAAGGGGCAGGCAACTCAGGAGGACACAGGAGGACTACAAGGATGTTGTGAGGTTACACAGGAAGAAAATTAGAATGACCAAAGCCAGCTAGAGCTTAATCTGGCTACTGCCGTAAAAGACAATAAAAAATGTTTCTAGAAATCCATCAGCAACAAAAGGAGGGCTAAGGAGAATCTCCATTCTTTATTGGATGCAGGGGGAATCATAGTGGCAAAGGTTGAAGAAGGGGGTCTGAGTTACTTAATGCCATCTTTGCCTCTGTCTTTAATAGTAAGATGAGTTGTTCTCAGGGTACCCAGTCCCCTGCATTGGAAGACAGGGAAAGGGAGCAGAATGAAGCCCCCATAATCCAAGGAGAAATGGTCAGCAACCTGCTGCATTACTTAGACACACAAGTCTATGAGGCTGGGTGGGGATCCACTGAAGGATCCACATCTGCTTAGTGGATGAGGGAAAGACTGAGGATGTTTACCTGGACTTCAGCAAAGCCTTTGATGTTGTTTCCCACAGCATTCTCCTAGAGAAACTGAGTGCTTATGGCTTGGACAGGTGTACTCTTAACTGCATAAAAAACTCTGGATAGCCAGGCCCAGAGGGTGGTGGCAAATGGAGTTACATCCAGCTGGTGGCCGGTCACCAGTGATGTTCCCCAGGACTCAGTGTTGGGGCCAGTCCTGTTTAATGTCTTTATCAATGGCCTGGATGAGGGGATCAAGTGCAGCCTGAGTCAGTTTACAGACAGCTCGAATTGTGTGGAAGTGTTGATCTGCTGGAGAGTAGGAAGGATCTGCAGAGGGATCTGGATGGATGGGCTGAGGCCAATGGTATAAGCCGCTTGGTCTGTTCAACCTGGAGAAGAGGAGACTGAGGGGAGACCTCATCGTAGTCTACAACTTCTTCATGAGAGGAGGAGGAGGGGCAGGCACTGATCTCTTCTCTGTGGTGACCAGTGACAAGACCTGAGGGAATGGCCTGAAGTTGTGTCATGGGAGGTTTAGGTTGGATATTAGCCTAGAGGGTGGTTGGGCTCCCCAGGAAGTGGTCACAGCACCAAGCCTGACAGAGTTCAAGAAGCATTTGGATGATACTCTCAGACACATGTTGTGACTCTTGGGGATGGTCCTGCGCAGGGCCAGGAGCTAGACTCGATGATCCTTGTGGGTCCCTTCCAACTCAGCATATTCTGTGATTCTGTGAAGGCCAAGTGCCAGGTTCTCCACTTGGGTCACAACAGCCCCATGTAACATTGCTACAGGCTGGGGGAAGGGTGGCTGGAAAGCTGCCTAGTGGAAAAGGACCTGGGGTGCTGGTCAACAGCCATCTGAACAATGAGGTGGCAGTGTGCCCAGGTGGCCAAAAAGGTCTTTGTCAGAAATACGGTGGCCAGCAGGACCAGGGCTGTCACTCTGCACTGGTGGCTATCACTCTGTCACTCTGCACTGATGAAGCTGCACCTCGAATCCTGTATTCAGTTTTGGACCACTCACTAAAAGAAAGACATTGAGGTGCTGGAGCATGTCCAGAGAAGGCAGTGGAGCTGGTGAAGGGGATGGAGCACAAGTCTTATGAGGAGCAGCTGAGGGAACAGGGATTGTTTGACCTGGAGAAAAGGAGGCTTTGGACAGACCTTGTCGCTCTCTACAACTACTTGTAAGGAGGTTGTAGACAGGTGGAGGTCACCCGCTTCTCCCATGTAACCAGATAGGACAAGAGGAAATGACCTCAATTTGTACGAGGGGTGGTTTGAATTGGATATTAGGAGTAATTTCTTCACTGAAAGGGTTGTCAGGCATTGCAATGGGTTGCCCGGGGAATTGGTGAATTCACCATCTCTGGAAGTGTTCAAAAAACTTGTGGATTTGGTACTTAAGAACTTGGTTTACTGGTGGACTTGGCAGTGCTGGCTTAATGGTTGGACTCAATGATCTTCAAGGTCTTTTCCAACCTAAACAATTCCATGAGCCTATGAATGTTTTCTATGCATTATCAATACTACCTGACAGAGGATTTACCTGCAAGTGTATTTTATGTATTATATGCCTCATACAAACCCAAAGGTGTAGTGTGCTTCCTGAATACAACAAAAAAAAGATCTATTTCTAACTCTTCAGACAAAATACGATTTACACCAAATGAGCCTGTTGGAGAAAAATAATCCCTAAACCCATAGATAAATTGATGAAAGGGAAACTGATGTAAATTACACACTGTAGGGTGCTGCTGGCAGAGTTTGATTCTGATTGTCTTTTTTTTTCCCTCATATTCTCTGCATCCAGACCTGAAAGATAAACCCTCTTTAGAAAACCTACAGTGGAGCGTAGACCCAGGAGCTGACCTTTCACAGTACAAAATGGACATTACTGTGATTGATACAAAGGTAAACTTTTATAACAAGCCTGCATGTTCTGTGATGTTGAAAAAGCCTGAAAAACTACTATCACGAACATTGTTCTGGGTAGACCAAACCCATTTTCTAACAAAGTTCTAAATTCATCTCATTTAATATTTGTTTGCACACCTGAAATGTTTGGTTTTGTGTAGTACACTACAGTTATCCTAAAACATTTCCACTGTCTAGTTGATAAACTCAGCAGACATATACTCCATATGAAACTGATGCTTTTGGAGGTGGTTTTGAGTTTCTTTTAAGACAAAAAATATTCTAAATCTCATTATTTTTCCTGTGAAAATGTTCAGTGTGATACATCTGTGATATCTCTTTATGTTAAGTGATAGAAAATGTGCCAATAATGACTGTTATCTTTCTCTGAGTTGGGTGCAGCTTGGTTATTAAGATCTCTGAGAATTTTCATGAAGTCTGCTTGTTTTGTCTCTCTCACTTAAAGACTGTCTTAAAATCTATTAATTTGTCCAGTCTTTCATTTCTGTATGTTTCATTGTTACTTTTTATCTTTGGAGAGTTTAACGTGAAATTTTTTTAAGGCATTTCTTGCCCATCAAATAAATGCTTCACACTTGAATTTCAAAACATGCTATTCTTTATGTAGATTTTCTATCTTTATCATGCAGACATTACTGTGGGGGGAAAAAAAGAGTGTCCAAAAAGAAGCCAGTAATTGCTATGAAAGTGTTTCAGAATACACAGAAGTGACACTGACTACACCAGTTGCATCTGAGGGCAATTGTCATTTTTGCTTTTTTTAGGGTGATTCTCAGAGCAAAGTCGGAGGGGAAGTTGTTGATATGGATTACACATATGTTAGTGATAGTGTGCTATTAAAAATGAAAAATCAAGAGCAAAATCAGGAAAGCAGTCCAAGTAAGACTTTTTTCTTCCCCTTTGGTTTGCTGCTTTTTGTGGTGTGTGGGGAGTTGATTTTTTTTTTGGTTGGGTTTTGGGGTGCTTTTGTTGGGTTGTTGTTTGGAGGGTTTTTTTGAGAAGGGAAGAGTGAATGGCATTTTTTCCCTGTATGACTATATCATAAAAAATGTTTTACAGTAAAAAGCTGCTGATGTATTTTTATAGGTTGCACAGATCAGTCTGGTTGTGGATTTTGAGTGGGGTTTTTTTAAGATTAAGAAAATGATAGAATTTATGCCAAGAGAGCCAGTTCATTTGTAGTGCTCAAAGAGTTAAATACTTAGCCATGTGACAGCTCTGATCTCACCTGCAACAATCACTCTTGTAAGAAGCAGCTTTGAAAGTTTACTATGTCATCATACTAGACTTTCTATGGAAAGACTAAATGTTACTTCTTTTGATACACATTCAATCAAAATGCACTTTCTTGACTAAAATCGGGGAGAGGCTGATTTGGATGTTCATTGTACTTTTTATAATAGGAGGAGAAATAACAGAGATGTTTGATCGGACAACCCATGAAGAATATGAATCCTGCCTACCAGAAGATAGTCCTTCTGCATGTGATGAAAAAGAAACTCTTCATGATGAAGAGCGGGATAAGGGAATAACAAGCAAGAAACTAAAGAGTGCGATATGATTCGAATTTGTCTTTATTAGACAGGTTAAACTGCAAAAGTTGATTTGAAATCAGTCTCTGTTCTCTAGGAACAAATATGCCAAGTAAACCATCGGTTCTTTTTTCATAAATTCATGTGAAAATTGATTAATTGTAAGGACATAACATAAACCAATATGATAATTATTTTACTAGTTCATTTATACAGTCACCACCCAAATGTGGGATGTGTAATGGAAGTTGGCAGAACAGCAAAGTGACTCTTAGAGCAAACAATCACAGAATATGCTGAGTTGGAAGGGACCCACAAGGATCATCAATCCAAATTAGCCCTGCACAAGATCATCCCCAAGAGTCATACTAGTTTTTGGCTACAGATTAATTACTTCCTTTCTTCTCCCTATCCTAGGTTCTATCAAAGATTTTACAGTATTTTGTATTTTAAGCAACCTTTCCTTTAATATTCTGCTTGTCTTTTTTACTTGTCTTGCTACTGTTTTCCTGCTACTCCAGGAATGCTTTTTGATTGTCAGTTCAATCAATTCTATATTGTTTTTAGTACATACTTGAATATGTTATCTCAGACTGAATGTACATGACGGGTTTTTATTGGTTTTAGTTGGTTAATAATTTTACAGAAGTTTTCCCAGGCAGTCTGTTCACCTTATATGATATGTAACTTTTTGTTTTGCATGTATATGTACAGAGCATGAGGATAAACAAGATAAAGCCAAACAGAAAGCTTTTGTGGAGCCATATTTCAAAAGTGATGAAAGGTAATTTAATTTGTTCTGTATAGACATTCTAAGGCTCTTTATATTCTCCCTGTAGGGAGCTTGTTCCTCCATAAAATCAACATGTTTGTTATATATTAGCAGTTGAAGATCCACAGGCAAAGGATCTACTAAATTAGATAAAAACCTTAGATAAAAGTTGGGGTAGGGGAAAAAAAGTAACCATGTTGAGATGCCTATCATATTTGCTGAAGAGAAGGTATTGCCTGTTCTGCTTTTTATAATTTATGGAACGCAGTGTTTTGTAATCCATGTGATTTCTTACAGGCATGTGGTCATGTATGAGTTTAAGAGCCAAGAACCTATAGGTTGCTTGTACAAATAAAAATCTTTCCTTCTCTGATATTTTCGCCCCTTGCTCTACGCAATAAATGAATAATGTTCAACAACTGTGCCTCTTAGTGCCTCCTCTATTTGCTGTCTCTATAATCATCACTGGAAGTCTGTATCTTTATTTTATAATGATACCAAGCCCTTCAGTTAGCTTGTTGGTTTTTTTTTTTCATTTTGGTGTATGTTTTCTTTGTAGAGGAAAACTTGTTTAGTGTTTTGTGAGCAGAGAAGTTGAAAAGAATCTGTTCTGGTCTTGAACCCCCACATATGTTCCTCTCATGGAAATCAGTGCAAGCACAACTCAGACAAAAATAAATACTCTACAGAAGATTTATATTTGAACAATTTCTATCTAATAATTACTTTCACTCAATGAAAAGCCATAATAATGAGACATACATCTCTGGTTATGTAAAAGATCATATTACATTTAAAAACTTTTATTTATAAAAATAGTCCTATTCAGCTATGAAATACAGTCTGATTTGGGTTTTGCAGGCATTATCTGATATTTTTTTTCCCTTGATTCTCCATCATTATGTTCTAAAAAACAGAAATTTCCGGTTATGTAGAAGAAATGAAAGTACTATCATATGTGAAAATGTTTCTATTTTTCAGAAAGAATACTGTGTTAGATTTTCCTCATATTGAGGTTATTCGAAAAAAAGAAGAAAGAAGAAAATTACTTGGCCATACTTGTAAGGAATGTGAAATAGTAAGTAATGCTTTAAAAGTTTGGTCAGTCTTCCATTCCCCTAACTCTGACAGTATTTAAGTGCTAAAGTGCTGTTGAAATCATGAATCTGGTTGCATCATTGTCATTACCTACAGTAGCAGAGGAGTAAGTATTTACCAAAGCTGTTTTACCAAGTTTGCGGTTGGTTTGTTTGTTTTCAGCTGTAGTAACTGCATATAAAGTCTTGGGGGTTTTTTGTGTATATGTATTATAGAAGCTTCTAACATCATGGTTTTCCAGTAAGATCAGTAAGTCAAAGAACTATTAAAAGTTTTAAATTTCAGCTCAAAAGCTCTACTGAAATTTACAGGTACTGGATTCAGTAAGTTCTATGTCCTGTTGTTCCTGTTTATAAATAGATATATCTATCTCTGTTTGATTTGCTTGTTTTTTTCCCTTGTTTTCTGTGATAAGTTTTTCAAATAATTGCACCAGCATAGGTGGCAATGTTTTTATATGTGCAAATGCATGCAAAAATGTTTACATTAGCAGGATAAAAGGTATTACATTTCAGGTTTCATGATCACATTTTTTCCTCCCTTTCAATTTAGTAAACTGCTTTCACATACTTGGTGTAGAGATAAAATATTGAAGTAATTACATGTGTAATAAGGACATATTTAATTTGGCTTTCAGGCTGAACTTAATCATTGGTGATTATCTAATAAATTATGACTCACTAGAAATGTGGATTGGTGACTGAATAATGATGGATTTTCTGGAATATTTTGACCTAATTTCCACACCCATATAGAATCAACATTTTTCATTGAATCTTCTGCTATTCAGTTTGCAGTCAAGTCCCATTTACTTAGTTGAAGAAATTTATAAGACTATATTTTTAATTAAAACACATTCCTGAAAAATAGTTTTGATGAAACTCATTAAATACAAATATTTAAGTTTTATACCTATAAACACCATTTTCAAAAATATGTTTAATTTAAAGAGTTTGAAAGAAAACAAGATATTGGAAAATAACAAAACCAAAAAAACCCCCAAACCTTCCGTCTATTTCTTGGTCCAAGAGCCATGTGGTTAGTGTTTTAATTTCCTGTTTCTGTAACCTGCAGATCTTCTCTCTGCAAATGCAGTTCTTATTACTTTCTGTCAAGTTAGAGTGGTAACTGTGGTGTCTGAAAACATTCACAGCTCCACTTTCGTAATAGTAGGTTTTTACATTAAGTGTCAGGAAAGTGTGGTTTTGTTGTTGATTTTGGTTTTCTGAGGTTTTTTTTTTTAGTCTACACCATTCAAGATGAATGTCTTGAAATGTAGGGAATGCTTGGCTCTGTCATTGCACAGTAATAAAACTAGCTTTGAATTAAATGCCTATGGAAGAAGGGAGTATTGGATAAAGCATAAATGATGCTTTTAAAAAGTTTTGGTTTACTGATTAGCCATGTGGGTTTGAAAAGTCGCCAAAGTCTAAGGAAATATTTTGGGAGTGGGTAGATATCAGTCAGTTGTTTCTGGCTGTGTGCTGCAAGTGATGTGAGTAGGGTGAGTTACCTGTCACTGAGAAGACCTGACAGATTTAATTTCTGCACATGCCGCAGCAGACTGATATTACAGTCCTTTATAAGTGCTTATCTTAAAATTGTGGAAGCATCTCATTCACTTTACAGTGTAGAACTTTTGATAAGACATCTTGTATTGTTATGACTTTGCAATGCTATCAGAGAAGATTGTAGGCAGGAGTTACTGGTAGCTTGTAAAAGTAACATTTGTTAGTGTGACTATAAAGTCTAGCTACACTTTGGATGAGTAGGAGAATCAGTCAGATGTTTTTATGTGCATTTAGATTACAGAAATGATTCTGTAAGTAACTTTATGTTAAACAATGGGAGTTCCCTTTCTGAGACTTGAAATTGTAGAGTTCTGTAAACAGTTATTTTACAGAGAAGACACTGTAGGATGAGATATTACCTATCTTCACCATGGAAAACCCTAGCTCGAATGTTTTGTGCGGACTGAAAACGCTGTGGACAGGGAAATCAATCTAGAAAACTGCTGAGAGTTCTTATTGCTGTTTAGCTGACATACATAACTCTCTCATTCTCTGTCAACCCTAATAGATTTCTAAACAAGCCAAAGAAAAAAAGTTACTTTCTAATTTCTATTTAAAACATACTTGTCTTAATTTTTATTGGTCGTTTTATTTTCTGTTGCCACTGAACTGTACTGTATTTTTCATTGTTGGATCTATAAATATTCCTTACCAATCTAAATGTTTTAATTAAAAAAAATGCAGCACATTACAAACTTTTAGTAGGTCAATTTCTAAATTTTTAGGCTATTTACAGGACAAAAATATGGAGCACTGCTAATTATCCCTAAATAAGACTTAGTATTATTTGGCTTATACAGATATTGTAGAATTCTTATATTAATTTTGCTGACTTTACACCATGTTCTTACCTTTTGCAGGGAAAATTGATGTGTTCCAGATGACAATTACTTGTTCCTCCTCTTTCATTAGTTTCTAGATATTTAACTGAGTGACACAAACATCTTTCCAGATGGATCTCTGAAGTCTAGCTGGAAAAGTAACCTTAATCTATCTGACTCAATCCCCAAGATACTGATGATACCCACTTAAGTTCTGCTTTAAGGGAACGTTTTATAAGACAGTGGCAAACATTGTCAAATGAAGTGTCTACAAATTCAGTGACTGATCCTGGACTTAGACTCAAAAAGTTTTGAAGAACTTTCTACTAGTGGCTCATAACAATTCCTGAATATTATCTATGGAATGGGCTGTTTATTCTGTCCCACATTCCCGGACTTCATAGTAGACAGACCATAACCTGAATTTTGGTTACAACCTGCTAACAACCTAAATCTGTGTTCTTGACTGGGAGATCCACATGTTACAGATGCATGTACTAATAAGGGAGAGAGCAGAGTATGTTCTGGTCTCACACTTTGTAAAATGGCACAAAGTCTGAATTGATTTGGGGAGGGGAGAAATGTACCTGTTTTAGGTTGCAGTTCCCATGGACTACAGAATCACAAAATGAAACAAGTCTGCTTTTCCTATTTCATGCAGTTTTGACACTGACATATTCAGAGCTGTGATTACTCTTTTCTATACAATCATCAATATTTATATCTCATGATTTTTTGAAGGAGGATTTTTATGCAATATCCTACTAGTAGTTGGGGAAAGGAAGTAATCTCTGTTGGCTCCTTTTCCTTTTCTGATTTCACCAGTCTAGATCACTTTGCAGTTGTTTGAATGAGCTTTAAACTTTAGTTTGCCTTTTTGAATTGTAACACTGTCATTTCAGTAGAATTGTATTACCACTTCTACAAGGGTCAGGTTTCTTGTGTTGCTGTGACTGTTGGCTTACCACTTGAATCACATGGTGAATTCGCTTTGAAAATATTTTGGCACTCTCTGATATCAAAGTGCCAGATTCATATTTTTAGGAAACACAACTAGAATTACAAATTGAAACAGTACAAAACTGCATGGAAAAAAAACCCCTAACTTTCTTAGATGCTACTCATGGGACCATGCAGCAAAAAGGTTTGAAGTCTTTGCAACCTCCAGTACAGCTGACAGGAATAAAAAAGTAACCAATTTACTGTAGAGAATGTGTGGTTGGCAGACAGTTTGTGGAGTCTCAGTGACAGCTGGTTAAACTAGCTCTTTATTTACTCCTAATTAGAAGGTTATTAAGAAGGAAGAATTTTTACTTAAGTTTTGTTGCTGATATAAATGTAGACATGGAATAATTCTGCAGTGGGGCTTTCGTAGTGTGTTTCTTCATTTTTTTAATTTTATTTGTAAATGCAAGCTGAAACTTAATAAATTTTAAAAATTCCCATCTATTTCAACACCTGTGCTACTTATATTTGTAAAATCAGTCAGTAAAATGGTTGACATAAGCAATTATACACATGCATAAACCTCGTACCTATGGTATGTTAAAAGATAGGAAGCTAACAAATTTGCCACCATAAATAATCTGTAAGTTCAGTAAGCTTTTAGGATAATTGCCAGGTGTTTGTCACTTGGATAATAAATCTCTACTCTTGGCTATCCTCACCATTATTTTTAGATAACTGTGTTAATAAACACAGTGATTGACAATGTCATTGTGTAAAGCAGTTGCTGTATATTTATGAATTTGTTAACATGGATTCTTTTTTCCCCTAATATTTAGTATTATGCAGACATTCCAGAAGAAGAGAGAGAGAAGAAACTAGCTTCCTGTTCCAGACACAGATTTCGCTACATTCCTCCAAATACTCCTGAAAATTTCTGGGAGGTTGGATTTCCTTCCACCCAAACCTGCATGGAAAGAGGTTTGTGCAAAAAAAAATCTTACAAAGCACTTTTCAAAGCTGATTTTGTTTACCAGAAATGGTTCCCTGAAATTATCTGTAGCCTTTCTCACCCAGTCCTGTTGAGGTCTGTTTACTTATCAGCAGCCATTATTTTAAATAAATATTGTCTATTTTTAGCAGCTCCTGTACTACTAAGAAAGGAATATATAAAAACTTTCTTAGACCCTAGATAGAGAAGGCAAAAATAATTGGGATTTTCCTAGAACTTAATTAAAACCCTACATGTCTTTGAATCAAAGCAAGAACTGGGTTTTCAGAGGCAAAGGCTGAGAGATTTTACTTACTGAGGAGAGACAGGCAGCACTGTTGATGTCCTTTGTCAGTATTTTTAGAGCTTCGTAACACCACATGATAATGGGTATGTTGCAGGTAGGGTGTGATTAAATAGTTTTTAATACATATACCCTGCTTGTTAGTGACAATAAAAAACTGTGCTGTTTGGGTTTTGGGGATTTTTTGACTTCTCTTTACACAGGGGTTTGTTCTTTCCTAAATAATTTTTCGAAATCCTAGAGCTTGGTATAAAAAATAGGTTTTTCTACTTATATTAAAACACGGTGAGTTTGTAGTACACTCTATATACATTTCTTCAGAAGTGGTGAGGAGCCCTATATGAACTCTCTGAGTTACTGATATCTTTACTTGTGCATTTGTTATTAGCTGTGAAGAATTAATCTTCTAACAACAGTGTCAGGTCAGGCATAGGAAAATGTAGCCAGAGATGTGTTCTTGTGTGGTAGTGTTGCAGTATTATCCTTAATCTTTCAGAACAGGGAGCTTTGATTTTTACATAACTTGTTACTACCCATTCGGAATCTGCTTACAGACTCTTTAAAAATTCTTGGCTGTCTCCTTGTTATGCTAGAATAAGAGCTGTTCAGTTGTTAGTGGTCCTCAAAAGCATATCAGAGGCAGACTTAAGATCAGCCCTCCCTTGGAAAAACAAATAATTATGTAACAGTGCATCAAGAACTCCAAAACACCAGAGTTCCCACAATGAGCAATTGCAGCCATTGCTCCAAAGTAGTGGGGTACAGATGTATTTTCTACTTCTTATTGGTATCTTGAACCAATTGTGGTTTGTGTTGGTTTTTTTTAAATAACTGAGTTACATAGACAGCATTTTTCAACTGTGAAGAAGGAATCTACTACTCTCGCTGCGGTGGATGTTGTTCCTGATAAACAGTAAGGGTTTGACAAAAGCCAGGTGCTGTAATCGACTTGCATAAAATGTCTGCTCACTGTCAGTGTTAGCTAAGTTGAGTGTGTTATAGAAATTTGCTATACACTTTTCTTATCAGGAAGCTTTCAAGGTGTGTTTGATCTGTAGGTTCATGTTTGGCTTTTTCCAGGTGGATAAGTCTTCAATAAATAAGGGTGCCCTTAAAACAGAGGGATGTACTGTTTAGACTCACAGAGCACATGTGCCTAAAGTGCCATTTCTCTGCCTGACTAGGATTTACATTTTTGAAAGTGGTTTTTATTAGTCAACTGAATTAGCAGTGCTTGCATACTTTGTTACTTACGTAAAATCTTCTGTAGAAAAGAAAATGAAAAGTGCAGTTTTGTTTTTTGACAGTTGAACAATTCATAGTTACCATTCTCTTCAGTGTTGACTGTCTGCAGTGCATTACTATGCACTCATCTACTAGAAAGCAGAGAAGTGTTTTAATGAATGATATTGCACCCTGAGATCTCATAACTTTTTGTGAAGTGAGAACCAGTTGCCACAAAAGGAAATAAAAATCACAAGTTATTTTTTGAGGGTAAACACAAATTTAAGCTAAAGTTATGCCCAGTTTTGTATTATATTTCTTACTTCAGATTTATTCTTATTCTTTTAAGGATACATTAAAGAGGATCTTGCTCCCTGTCAGCGTCCAAAAAGACGGCAGCCTTATGCTGTGATGTTTTCTCCAAAAGGCAAAGAGCAAAAGACATAAAGGATGGGGAAGTAAGGCCTGCCAACTTGAAGCGTATCTTTCCTGCCCATAGATATTTATAGTTAATATAAACTTGAAATAAAGGACTATGTTTTCCACAATGATAGATAAATTGTTTAATTGAATATGTAAATTTTATAGAATTCATTTGAAAGTCTGATTTAGCAGGATACAAAAACTATTTAATGTATGTTTGTTTCATATTGTGTTAATACATTTTGTATTAATTTTTGCACCTGTCGGACAATGAGTCTCCCACTTTTTTTTTTCCTTTGAAGTCAACAGC